TGGCACAAAAGAGATACTGAAATTGGGGGGGTGGCCTATGAAGTCTTCTTGCCAAAAATATTCTTCAGGTCCTGAGACCCAATTCCCAGTTTTCAGCAAATACAGGGGATGAAGGACCAAGTGACGTGACATCACAATCAGAAAAATCCATTTTAAATTATGGGGCGACTGGTCTAAATCTAGACCAAAGAGATGCAATCAAATACAATGCATAGACCTTGGTTAGATTCTGATTTAAAAGAACAGCTATAAAATTGTGTGGATAACAGGAAATTTGAACATGGACTAAATATTAGCTATTACCAAGGCTCTTAATTTTCTTAAGTGTGATAATAGTTGGGACTAGATAGGACGATGTCCTTATTTTTAGGAGATGCACTCTGAGGCGCTCAGGGACAAAGCATCAGGATGTCTGCAACCTATTTTTGAAGATTCTCTGAAAAAGGAGGCGCAGCCCATAGGGCAAAATGTTAGCTGTTGAATGTTGGCACTGAACAGTCAGGTGAGCGATCAAGCACCAATTCAGCATTTCCATATGTTTGAGTTTTTATAACAAAGGTTGGAAATGGGCTGGGGGCAGCAGACAAATCAGGAGCAAAGACCATGTGGGTTTCTGTTGCTTGGTGTCTGTTATTCTTTGCCCTCGGAGCTTATGCTGGGTCAATACTAGTGCTGTGTTCACCATGCCTAACACCCAGGGAGCACACAAGTGTTCACTCAGCTGAATGGTGACCTGGGGTTAGAGCTGCCACCCCAGACATTTAACCCCTCTCACCACCACTGAGCTGACAAAGACAGACAGAGTCAGGTGAGTGCCTAGTGACGGTACACGATGCCCAGAGAGCTCTTATGGTTATTAACGTTTGGGAGGCAGGTGAAGTGACAGTCAACATTTACACAAATGTCCTTTTCAGAAAAGGGTTAAGTTATCCCTCCCATCACGGTGGCACCATTGGACAGTGAAGGTACGGTTTAGGTCTCCGATGCCACAAAGCTTACAATTCTTCATTGGTGTTTGCCTCACCAGGTGCCAACAACAGTGCCCACCAGTGACAGACCACCCTATTTTTAGAGCTAGGGGAAACCACAAAGCAGGTTCAGTGCAGTGCTACAAATCTTATGTAACAAAATCAAAGCTGTCCCCACCCCCATGGCACCTATTTGAGGCTATATGCTTTTTCTTTTTAAACTGGCTTTATTTTTCAAAGTCATCTGGCTATAATTGTACATCCTACCCCACAGTTGGCAAACTTTTAGATGTATGCTTTTCAATGCGCTACCTGTGGTTTCAAAAGCTTACTTAAACCCAAATTAAATTTAAAACAGAATATTTTAGCTCTTTTTTGCAACGTTCAATTAAGATTTAAGTTGTTTCGTTAGGTTGATCGCTCTCCTTTAGCTTTAAGAGGGGACAAGAAAGGGCTATTTATTCTGTTGACAACAGCAGACCAGGGAGAATCTTTAACCAGCACCCTAAAAGTCCCCTTCAAACCAATCTGGTTTTTAAGTTCCCCGCAGAACTATGCTCTGATCTGAGTTCTAGAGCTTCGCACGTGCTATCAACGGGGGAACTTCGGTCTCTGGGTCCAGGAAGCAGCGGAGTCCCTGTCCCTGTCCCCGCTCCCCCACCCGCCCCATCTGTCAGATACTGGTCATACCTGCTTACTCATCTGTCCCATTCCTTAGCCTCTAAGGACATTAAGCATCTTTAACCCCAGGCCTAGGGCACAATAAAAAGCCCAAGTGGTTGCTGAAGAAAAATATCCTTGGAGGCACTAATTTACTTCCGGCCTAAATCACCCCAACGAATTGTGTCAGTTCCCCGCCCCAGGGCAGCACAATGCTACTAGGAGGTATTTTACTGTTTAGCTCAGGACTAGCCCCCGGGGCTTTTGCTAAACCAGACAAGTTCCACCTCTCAAGTTACATACCTGGAGGATGGGGCATGTACGGACCACCCAAAATCTGCAATCTTAAGCTCTCCCGCGGATCCCAGGAGCAGATTCTCGGGCTTGATGTCTCTATGAATAACTCTCTTTGAATGGCAGTAAGACAGGGCATTGGCCAATTCTGTGATATACTATTTAAAAAAAAGTATTGAAAGTCTGTGTTTTAGATTTTATATAAAAAAGTTAATTTTAGACAACTCTTCTGAAAGGAAACCCAACATAGGCTTTAATATGTTTTGTAGATTTTAAAGCAAACGCTAGTACCAACTGATGACTCAAAAAAACAAAAAAAAACAATCGAACCAAATTAGTTTCAGTATGAAGTACAAAGTATTCAGTACTAGTTACCGTATTTACCGGCGTATAAGACGACTGGGCATATAAGACGACCCCCTAGCATTTCCACTCAAAATACAGAGTTTGTTATATGGTCGGCTGTGTGCGATTTTGCGAGTGTGGTAAAATCGCATAACAGCAAAA